GATGTCAGGGAGTTGGGGGGTAGTTGTTAATTTTAAAGAAATTAAATTGTTTGTCACCTTAACGTTTTGGATTTCGCCAGGTTTCACCAGGGTAGCCTGCAAGCCTGAGAGCCAGGACACATAGCTGGCTCTGCATTTCCAAGTCCTCTAACACAAAGGTCCTGGTATTTTCCAAGTCCCCAAATCTCACAGGTCCTCTTCTTCTGGGCAAAGCAGAACCTTCTGTAACAATCTGGTCAATACAACCTCATCTCTTTATGTAACAGTGGGTATGCAGCTATCACAAAACCACTTAACGATCTGCAGCTCCTAATTCCCCGCTTCGTTCTTCATCCTTATCTAATGGCCTTTGCTTGCCCAGAGTCTCCCCCACCCCATGACAAATGCCAGCTTTGTTTACTTGGGAAACTGGTGATTCTGGCCATAGTCTGTAGGGGATCTGGAGCTCTCTCCAAGCCCCAGGCTCCAATATCAGACCTTAGGGACGTGTCAAAGTAACAGAGTCACAAGTAGCTCTGTATTTCTTCAGTAATGTGTATGCAACCTTTGAGGAACAGCTAAAAGTCTTCAGAAGCAAAAAGCAAGCAAGGAAATGGGGGAAGATGAAACGGAGCGAAATGAATCTTCCTTTTGGTTTCTGAGGGCAGAGAAAGCAGTGCTATATTTGAAATGGGGTCCAGAGAGAAAGAGAGAAGCACATAGGATTAGCTATAAATTTCACAGTTATTCTGAGCTGTTGTAATCTGCTGTTTGACCTGTGTCTCCTCCCCCTGCTTTATGAGGTTTAAGTAGTGCTCTGAAAGACAGGGAGTGGGGAGGGAAGGTGGCTTAATGTCCTAAGCCCTACGTTTGAAATAGCTAGACCATCTATATTTGCACATTTGTTAATCCCGATAAAGCCTATTGAGCTATTCTCCTGGTGTCAGGTTGAATTTAGAGCTTTTTCAGGAGCAAATTTTGGAGACGAGCCATTGGTTGTTGTGTATAGACTCTTGGTAGAGTGCTCAGTGCTCCGAGTAAGACAAGGAGTTCACTCATCGTGGGGTTTTGCAGGGACAGAAATTGTCCCTTTCGGCATGCATAGCCATGGTGTGTGGTGGGAGATGGCCAGCTATCCCAGTAGCACTGCATCAACCCTGCTAGGAAATCACTCCCAGGTAAGATCTAGGCAGCCAAAATGCCGCGTTCCGATCATTCTGGCCCAACCTTGAATTACCGTGCCGTTTAAGATCAGCTGTGTATTCATAGCTGACAAGTCCATTATTTTTAATCTGTATTCAAATAGTTTGAAGCTGTGAGAGTTTTTTAAGGACCTGTGAAGATTAGCAACACTATTCTGGGATCTGAATGATAATGCCCTCCTACCGCTCCCCGGCTGGAGTATTAATTGCTGTTGTGTAACGCTACGGTCCCTCGGTGCCCGGCTTTGTGGGGACTGACGTGACTGACTGACTCACAGGACGCACATCCCCGTCCTCGCCGAACAAAAGTGAGCAGGCCTCCAGCAACTGCACACAGGCTGACGTTCTGAAGCAAAAACATCTCTTAAAAAGACAAAATTAAACTGCTTTCTCCTCAGGAGATCCAGTAACTAATGAACAACTGAAATGGGGCCTGGGCCCTGGGCAGTCGGGGCTGGTGGTGCCCTCAGGGCCATGAGGACCAATTTTATATCATCAGCAAATTTGCCTTCCAGTTTTGGAGCCTTCTTTTGTCTTTGTTTTGTGAATCAAACTGTCCCAGGCAGCTTAAAAAAATCACTCATCAGTGAAAGCAAAACAAGTTACAAAAACACAGCATCAAAGGGCACAAACACATGCACAACCATAAGGCATCCTTAAGCTTATAGTTCATCTGGTCAAGCTGTTAAGAGACTAAAAAAAAAAGTATATATTTTTATTTTATCTACTATGCTAAGCAGAAAGCCCAGAAGACTTTGAGGCATGTAAAGGAAGTTCTGAACCCATTTGTTTGGTGTGTCTCTGGCCCACTCCTCAGAACGGCATTAGGAGATTTCTGCCCCGCTGTTTTACACCGTATCCAGAGGGGATACCCTGGGAGCTTTCCCCAGCTGGCTCTGCCCATTCGGCCAGGGAAGGGAGCTGCACTTCACCATCCTTCCAGATGCCCGGAGTATCCCATGTAATGTGCTGCAGTGAGGAAGGCAGGGCAAGCGCCGTGCAGACATGGAAAATAAGCCTTCACACACAAGCAGTGCATCCATCACCCGAATCTGTCCAGTATCCTAAGCAGCCAGACAAGCAGGCTTCACCAGCATTAACTCCATTTAATAAAAATATTAGAAAGTTGCCCTTTGGAATAACAGAGTAAACCACCAGAAGTAAATTATTTATAACTTCCACCACTGGTAATCATCTCTGCTTATTATGTTGTTGGGTTTTGGGTTTGGGGGGTTTTTTTCATTTTATTTTATTATTTTTACAGTAGCCCTTTGCTTGTGATTTACTGACTTCCTAATGAGCAGCAGATGCTTTACTGTGTGTGCTGCACAGAGTGAAGTTTTACAGAGCCCGGAGACATGTAAGAACCTACCTGGATACTTGCATTGTGAATGGTTATAAAGCAGCAGATGGGTAAATCAGCACAGCAGTATTCTTTTAATAACATCATAACACATTTATTGTATTATTTGTTGTACTCACAGAACCACAGGATGATCTCCATAGGTTACTCTTACAATTTTTTCATTATTTAATGTACTATTCTGAGGCTCTTGGATGCTACTGCAAAAAGCATAGTATTTCTCTTTATCTGATAAAGCTCTGCATATGTGTAACAAGATCACCATAGCCTTCTGCATCACATAAACATTTGTGTTTCTACCTACAATGTATGGGTTTTGGTGTAGAAAGGAAAACCAGTATATTTCTCATCATTGTTTCTGTGCAATGCTTCTGGGTACCACATCATGTAGATAAACATGTCTGCTTTCTCAGTATTTCTATTCCTGGTGCACTGGCTGCTGAGGTTAATATGTCACCGGTGGTCTTTGCATGTGTACAGAATGTGGCTGGGGCTTTCCTGGCAACTACAATTTCTCTCAGGTGTTTTTCAGAGGTGGGATTTTTCTGACTTTGGCCTTCAGCTGGACAGCCAATCGATCCACCAGATCAGAATTACATAGCCAGACACATTAAGGTGATTATTATGTTGTCCAAACTTCTGATACTTTGTCAGAGCAACAACAGCGACACCAAGACACAGGAAGAAAGCAAACAAAATACTATTTTCCAAAATCCAAAGTGAAATGTAAGGGAGAAAGAAGAAAATTAATCTGGTCATGGACATCCACCAAACCTAAAATTAATCTGTAGTTTCATAAGGAGTATGAAAAGCAATAACAAGGCAGCAATGTGAAATGCATCTAACCACATTCTTAGTAGATCTATCAAATCAGATGATGGAAATGTAATCAGCAAAATAAACCTTGCCCTCCAGTAAAACACTTGATCAGACGCTTCTTGAAATAATATTTGCAAAATTGAAATTCAAGCTGGTGTGCCAAAAAGGAGCGTAAAGTTTGCAGTACACGGTGTGTCATTTTTTGGTAAAGCATCTGCTTTTAATACTGGGCCTAATCTTGTTTGAAAACTACATGCAGTTACTGCCAAATTTTATTTAATCCCAAACAGTGGTTGAATAGTGCCTTTGCCTTTGCTGTGTTTGCAATTAGAGTAAATCCAGCAATCACAGCAGAACCTGCACAGAGAGTCTGTGAAGCAGTGGTCAGTCTGCACAAGTTATGCAGGCACCATTTCTGTATGTATCCAGTGTGTTTGAAACATTTGATTTACCTTTTAGGTGCTACCCTGCTGAACAGCCTCGCACAGAAATCAAAACAAGCAGTACAAGTATGGCAATGAGTCGCACCACACCTTGAAAGGACTTCTTTTCCTTTAGCCTAGTACAGTCTCAAGGACAGATTAATGCCTGCTGATTGCAAAACCTTAACTGGCAAGACGTGCGTTGATATATGACAATAAAAATAAGTAACACGCTAAATCTACTAGATACTCATCCAACCTTCTCTTCTCAATCACAGGCCATCTGAAACTGGTGACGCTTTCCAACGTTTTCCAAGCAATTGCATTCTGACCAATGTAAAGATCACAAGATTAAATTTACCAGCTGTTAATTCTTTTTATATGCACATGAAAAACAGTTGGAGCAAGTACTCTCCAAATTCAGCAACTGTTTCTTCCATCCTCACCACATTTTTGCAGAAACAGAAGAACTGTCACAGTAGCTTGGACCACCTGACCATGGAGGCCTGTCCTTGACAGGTTTCCATCAGTAGCTTCAGAGAAGGAAGCAGAAAATAGGGAATTAGATCAATCTGAAATGCTCTTTCCCTATGAATATTCCCCCAGTCCTCACTATTTAGAAACTAGTTTATGACTTGAAGGCTTTATATCCCATGCAAAATGCATTTAGTCAAGAGAGACCTGATGTTTATATGGATAAACCACAGTACCTGGGGTTCATGCCAGGTTATTGGTTACCATGTACAACACTTAGTACATGATCTCTCAGATGAGTAACACCTGGAACAGCTCCGTTGCACTGGAAATCATCCGTCATTCTGCAGTACCCATATGAATATAAGAAACTCTGCTTAGACATCTCATTGGTACCAAACCAGATATCCCAGACTCCCCTTTTCTGCATGTGGAAGTCTACTACAAAACTCTTTCTCTTATCCTCAAAAAGTGTCAATAACAATCACTCGGAACAGATTTGCCCCCCACCCTCGCTGCCCCCAGCTTTCAGGGGAGAACAAAAGTGTCTGTGCTAACACCCCTTCCTATAGTACTTCCAGTTGAGCTCATCCTTTTTAAACACCACAGGAGAATTCTGTGTTAAGGTGCTTTATAAATCAGTGTGGATTATAGTGAATTTGGTGACCTGTTTCTGTGAAATTGCCAGAATTAACAGAAAACCAATGTTGTTAAATATGTTTTTTTCTCTCTCTCTCTTAGGATGGATTTATAGACTTCTTGGAGTTCATAGCTGCAATAAATTTGGTTATACGAGGGAAAATTGACCAAAAATTGAAGTGGTATTTTAAGTTATACGATGCTGATGGAAACGGATGTATTGACAAAAAAGAACTATTAAGCATATTCACGGTAAGCAAGTTAGGACCAATAGCAAGAGCATTTGACGCAGTGCATTGCCCCTGAAACAGTGGTTCATCATGTGTTGTAAATGGATTGTCTGTACTTTACCTATGTTTTACAGTTGTAAAACCAGAATTGTTCTGGCTAGTGACATTCCTGTCGTTATTTTCTTGCTTATTGAAGTAAATGTATCTAAGTAGTATTTTACTTTAAAACATAGTTCTACAGATATAATGCTTTACTGAAAGTGAAAAACTGTAGAAACAGTAGAGACATTATTGTGATAAACTATAGTATAAGGCAGGGTAGAACTGAAGCGGCATAATGAATAAAACAGCTGTTTACAAGTGTTTGTGCCAGTCTGTTGTGGAAGACTGGCTTCTCAAAGTGATCTTGCTTCAAGAAACAATACACGTCATCAACATATTCCAATATTATTGTTTTTTGAAAGGCTTTTAGATTTGTTTACTACAAATGCCATTACTCCTATTTTAAAATTAAATTGGGGTAATTTAATTTTACCATGAAATCATGCAGTGACATCCAAATACAAATATTGTATAAAATTTTGCAGAAAATGGGTCCATTTCAAACCCATAAAACCAGAGCGGTGCAATTCTTTCTTTAAAATGATTTAAGTATTTTTCAACTTGCTCTAGTGAAATAGTATTTTGCACTTCAGTAGCTGCTTTCATGTAAAAGGTATTACAGGGTTCCTTGCAAATATGAATGACTTAATACTGCTCCCTAAATGCACAGGACTCGTTACAGATCAAGGTTTTGCTGCAAGGAGCATAAAATCGAAATAGGGATTTAATGTCATAATAAACAAGGAACATACTTTTCCTGGATTCTGTGCTGGTGCCTGGCTAGTCATTGTTAGAGACTTTCAAGAGCTGCTGCCCAAATTAAAAGGAACTGGAGCCAGATGGAGCCACGGGGTCAAACAAATACAGTTGATGTGTCACCTTCTAAAGAGCAGTTTTCTAAAGGTAGACGGAGAGGCTGCATCTCCCATGTTTCTCCTCATTTAAGACTAATGACATCTTTCTTTTGCAGATATTCTGCACCTTTTTTCACCCAGAGGCAATGAGGCAACTGTGTTTTGTCTTGGGCTTTATCCGAAAAGAGAATTAAAATCCTTTTAATGTAAAGAAGATTTCTTTTTCAACTTACCTGGTTTTAAAACCAGTTTAAACCTCTGTGTGTTTTCTTCTCTTTTGGAGTATGGGAACTTTAATTTAAACCTGCTTAAGTCATTTGACGTAGGCTAGATTAAAATCAGTGGGCTCTAAACAAAAATAAAAATAAAGGCTCACAGCCATTAGGGGCCCTACTTATACTAAGCATCAGTAAACAAGGGTTTGTCCAAAAAGATATGATGTCATATCTGAGACATTAATTTAAATTACAGAAGTCCTATTAAAACTTCATATGTCCCTACAGCTATGCAAACTTTGGACCAGCAGATCATTATCAATGATTAAAATTCCTTCCAGACAACCATGCACCCTCTCAATGCCTTTTAACAGCCCAATTATTTTATTATTTAAGGTCACTCTGTGGTAGTCAGTGATTCAAGTACTTCAGGAACCACTGCTTTGCTCTTAGCACTACAACAAATTTAACTGTGGCAGGGGTACAACTTTCTTCTGAAGACTGCATGAGGGTCAGACATATGGAACACCAAAAGTAGCTAAAGTATGAATTAGTACTACAAACAAGTTTACGTACCTATTTTTGTAAAATTCTTGCTGCCCTTTTGGAACTCATTTGTGCAAAGTCAGATAAAGACAGTAATGGTCAAAATTCCACATCCGTGGTGAATAAGTTTAACTTAACATTTTATTTAAATATAATGAGTTCTAATATAATATCAGGAATACTGAAAGAAACAACTGGCATATATGGTGAATTATCTTACACAACACAGTTCATCTCAAGATAATTCAGGTGTAGAAAAACAAATTTTATAGTATGCATGCCCATTATAGAACATATATGCATGTGTATTTATAAACATATATGCATGTATTTTCCCAGTCAATTACTAATTGGGATATTGAGTTTGAATCCAACTCTTTAAACACACGCTCGTTGCATCTGAACCACTGGCTATTAACATACAGGCTCCTATTTTATTAACCTGAATGACCACCAAATGCAAAAATTACTGTCTCAGTGAATGGGATACAACTTTGCAAAAATATTCATTTATACCTTATACCTTTACTCCAAATATTGGGTCCTTTTTGCCACAGAAAAAGTAGAGGGGAAACTTCTGGTTTTCTTAATTTCTATGGAGGACAAGTAAATTACGCCAGCTTCCAGGACTGCTGGTCTGACTTTATTTGTGACTACTAAATTAAGCATGTCTTAATAGAAAAATGACTTGGGCTTTCTCCTCATGTGCTTTCAGCTGTGAAAAATAATACTCTATTTAAATCACTCAGACCATAGGGCACTCTCTAAAGACGCAGAACTCTCTAGGGCAAGATAAGAATGCTGGTGTGGAATCTAAAGTGTATTGCAGAGCAGAGGTGCCACATGGTTTCAGAAGACCTTCAGAGATATGTAAATTAGCCTGTAATCTTCAGGCTGTGTTATGTTAATTAAATTTCCAATCCTCATTACTGAAGATTTACTTGAAATAGCTATTTATTTAGCAATTTTTGAAAGGGTTGGTGAACTAAAGAGCTGCATCGCAATTACTGCAGTTGCCAGCGTATTGTTTTCACAACTTGATGGAAAAATGTCTGAAAGAACTTTCTGCATTTCTGCTTTTAGGCTATCCAGGCTATTAATGGCCACACCAACATGTCTGCTGAAGAGTTCACAAACATGATATTTCAGAAGATAGATGTGAACAATGACGGTAAGAATCTAGGTTTTCTTGGCATTGGCAGGGATTTTCCCCCATAATCAAGTATGGGATCAAGAGGGGAGCTGAAGGCACTACTGCAGGACTGACTGTTTTAGACAAACTGAAAGCCTGAATCTGCTCTTTTTTACCCACATATTACTTCAGCTTTACAGTGAAGTGTTAGTCAACTGACTCAAGCTGACAGAGGAATTACATGCAGCAGGGGCTAAAACATGGAGGTCTTGCACTGTTCATCCAAAATGCCAGTACCCTGGTTGCACAGCAAAATTAAAGTGTGATTGAGATATTTTTTTAGTATATTTGTGTTGGCTTAATCTAAAATGGATAAGAAAACCAATTAAGATGCACAGTTGCACAGGGTCTAGCACGTTCTAAAGACTGGACAGCATATTGGATGTTCCTTGAAGGCTGATCGTTAACACATGCTAAGACACATGCTTCTGTTTTTTCTCAAGATAGCTAGATTAAGCCAATTGGACTTGCATTTGGAAACTAAAACTTTAATTCACTGCTTCAAAGTTGTTTCTAATAGAAAACCTGCCGCATGTGAGTGTCTTCCCCCATACTTCTAATCATGAAGATCTTCCCTCCACTGGCAATTATGTTTTACATCAATTACTGCAATCATTGACAAATTAGGAATATTAGGAAAGCATTGCAGAGCAAAATCAGATCCCAGCCAGCAATGTGGGGCATTTTTTCTGTTCATTTTTCTGGTCTTATTTGGTGTATTAAGGTTACTTTAAAAAAAAACTGTTTGTGATATATAATCAAAGTATAAACAGTGATCTTGTGATGCATATGAATAACTCATGCAGGACTTTTTCCCCACCTGCTTGGCCCACCTTTTGGGTGAAGGCAAATTACCAAAGGACTCCAAATAACATACAGTCATATTCTAGAATCTAACCCAAATTCTATGATTATTTGTACCTTGGCCACTGCTTCGACCATATGTTTACTGCAAGTAATAATTTTATCTGAGCTAGACCATCAGCTGAAAAAATGACTCCTGTGTCTTACATTTTAGCAGTGAAATGCCAGAACATGAATTATTCAGAATTCTCTTCATAATACTCCCATTTCAAACTGCTTTCCACAGTTAGTTATTTTTCAAATAGCTGCAAAGCAGCAGGACTAACTTCACCTGAGGAATGGGACAAATTTTACCAAGTTTGGCTTAAACTATGCTGCCTCCTTGTAGCTTCTTATTAAAGAAAAGGGCAAATAGACAAGTTGCAATGTCCTTCCTCACATTTAAATACAAGAAATAACCCCATGGTTGTAAGAAGCAATTCTTAAACCAAATCTGATGGCTTCGCAATTTATTTTCATTAGCTCAAGGAAACCTGAGACCCATCACAGTCGCAGTGAGTCTGGGCATGCCAGTGTAACCACATCTCACTGGGAACTGCAGTGGTTTTTGTCTGCTTGTATGCTGGTACTGGTACCTTGAAATATATAGCCTGGGATCAAGAGGAGGGAATTCAAGATCAGTTGACCTGCATAAGCAGGAAAATGATGCAGCAAGTCCATCTGACAAGTCTAGGAACCCCATCCACCCAAAGACCTCAGCCAAAGGCGATAGAGAGGGAAGGAGATGGGAAGTAAGAGGAGTGCCTGGGATAGGAGGAGAGATCGGAGGAAGTGAGTGGATGAATGGCAACGCAGGACAACGCAGGCAGGCGTACAGAGACGGCTTGTTCTGTCTCTGCTCCTGGGATGATTGTATAAGGGCACTGGTGTCGGAAGAGGAGGCACGAACATTCTCAGGGCACTGCACGCCAGACCCTGGAGAGGGTCTTACTCCGCTCACTGAAGTGTAAGAGCCAGCACTTCATTCAAATGACATCTTTCCACTTTAATAGTGTGTATATGAGCCTGCTCACCAGTGCAGTGAGGACCCATATGCCTAAAGAGGAAGCAGCCTTTACTGCCCATGGGTAGAAAGTGGTTTTCACATTTTTCAAATGCTGATCATTTTTCTTTTTCACATCAGATGAACTTTCCAAGGTTGCCATGCACAAAAACCAAAACACAAAAAAACTCCGGGGAGTACTTAAATCCAAAAATAGCAAGAAGTCATCCAGCTAAACATTCACCAGAAGGGCATGCGATTTGAATCACTGCTCCCCTGCACCCTGGGGCCCTAAGACATCCAGCTATCTTCCTCTTTGTCTGGCCTCTTGTAATTTCTTATTGCAGTGAGAAATCATTCATTGTTGTGATTTTCACAAGAAACTTTGAACCGTTCTCTGAAAAAAAGGATCAAGCTCATCCTATTAAACCAAGTTCTGTTTCCTCACTCAGAGAAAAACAGTATCACTGGAATAACTTCTAACCACAGAATTGTGTACACTTCTGTGCACCATGCAAGCACACACATGCCTAGGACTGGCCTTTGCTTTTGCTGACAAGTGAGCAGGAAAAGAGGAAGAATGCTAAATGATATTCCTGCTCCTCAATAAAAGAGATTTTATAGTTGTCTTGCAACTTCCAAGGTATTACCTGATTTTGACATAAGACCAAAAAATCACGCTCTAAATGACCATTTCAGTTGCTTGGAAGAATTTATCTAATCAAACCACTTAACCAATTTTTTTACTACGTCTTATTGTGGCTCCAAATAATCCTAGCAGTCAACACAGGGAGTATGCCTGGTAATCCTCAGCAAATCACACCCTAATCTGTTAAAACCAGCTGTAAGATAAATTCCAGTTAGCTCAGTGAGACCTGGTCCATACATCTAAACTCAGCCTTGATAGAAGCTTCATTAGTACCGATTTTTACACATTTCTGTCACCATAGATGCTAACCACTCACAATGGTCTTAGACTTCTGTGAAAGGTTTGTTTGATCTCTTTTAACAGAAAAAAGCAAGTATGAGTTCTAGTATCTGATGCAAAGTGGGAAAAGATTAGAAAATATTTTGCCTGCATTTGCCTATCAGCAGAGAACAGGGGATCTTCCTGAGGGATTCAATCCAGTATGAATGGCCTCGTGTTGGGCTGAGAGTGATTGCTGGGTTTCACGGTTCCTAAGGAGTATCTGACTTCCTTTTAGGGGAACTGACTTTAGAAGAATTCATCAATGGTGTGGAAAAAGACAAGGACCTAATGGAATTGATTACGAAAAGTTTTGACCTTTCCAACGTACTCAAAGTCATACAGAATGGCAGGAGACACAGCATCTGAAGGATCCAGTGACGGATGTGGCATCTGTGTCATCATTTCAAGGAAGATAATATTGATGCATTCAGAGAGCTTAATGTCGCCAAAGCCTGCTCAGGCAATACTGAGCAGCCTGCTCCAGGAGTAACAATTTTCACTCTTGACTCCATCTCCCTCCTTCTCTTTTCTTTATTCTTTACAATAACTGTGGCAGCCACAGAACACAAACCTTTGCCCACATATAACAGAAAAGCTATCTGATGCAGTACAAATAACTTCTTTGGTCTCTATGAACACTGTTCAGAGTAATCAATAAAACAACGAAAATATCGCAAAATGCAACCTTTCCAGAAGACACAGAGTTAATAAATTTATTCTTTTAAGCACAGGCTCTTTAACCTACTAGCTAAAGTGTGGATATAAACTTCTTGGTAGGACTGGGTTCTATCCGGATCAATTAAGAATGAAGCCTGGTTTGCATTAACTTAACCTTTGCTCTAACCAGTACTCAAAATTGGAGTAGGTTCTCTGGGAGACAACTCAGTCAGCTTAATATTCCCGAGATATGCATTCTCCTCAACAAACTGTCTACCACTCTTGATTTTATTACAACTGTAAATTAAAATAATGTGATGTTTTGATGGTTTTGGCAGGGTTCAGCTACTGTTCTTTCAAATTAACCTTTTACAGAAGCACTGGAATGAAATTTTGTTATCTTTGTAGAGTAAAATTAGATGTTCAAAGAATAGCTAAAACCAAATCATTTTGTAAGCACTCTGTTTTCCCAGAGATTTGTGTCCTTTGACTTGTATGTCCTCCTTTTCAAAACAATTCGGTTTCACTGGGCTCTTTGCCATGGCTGCATGAGACAAAAGGTAAGAGGTATCGTGACTAGTTCCTTCCTGCTCGTGGAACTGCTGGCTTCTGCCAAACAGGCTGTTCAACAGCTGAATTCTTCCTGCCTTTGCCTGAGAAGGAGTACTAATTTAGGTATCTTTGCCCTGCCCAGATACCTGGGTGAAAGCTTTTAGCAATTTAGTCTCTCTGAGACTTCTACCTTCTTTCAAGTTGGGTTGCAATTGTCTCTGAACACGGTAGCTGTTAGGAGTGCAGGGATTCACAGATGGCATGATCACATATGCCTCATTTTCTTAGGAAACCAGACTGAAAACAACTCAACCTTACTTTATAAATAACATGATTAATTCTATGAGCTGAAATGGAACTGCATGAACTGTCTGCAAAGGGAAAATTATAGTTCTCTCTGGCTCTGTTGGGATTGATACTCTCTCAAGTCTCCAACAAGTTTTATCAAATTACTACATTATATCAGAAGAATAAGTTCTCCTTGGCTGACAGTGCCCTGCAGGCATCACACTCATATTAGTTATTGTTAGAAGCATCAGCTTTATGCAAAATAATTTGTGCATGGATTGGTGCAGGTTGAATGAAACAATTATTAAGATTTCAATATGAAAATGTTTTTCTTCCAAATTCATTTCAAACCCATGTCCATTTGCACATGAAATATGCTCCATCATCTGCACTTATCCCAGGTTTTGTTTGATCAATGGAATATACTAAAAGTATGCAACATGCATCACTTGACATTATAAACAGTTCTGACATTATAGTTCTGACATTTGAATCTTTTATATCCTTTCAAAAAAAAAATTATGTATGAGATTGCTGGTGGTTCAAATTTTAAGTTCTTGTATTTATTCATCATTGGCACATTAATATGTCATTGTCAGCATCAGTTTTCTCACACCCAGGCTTCAAAAAAACCACTTTTCTCAATCTAATGCTTTTGCATTTAGATCCTATGAGGGTGGTGTCCTTCAGAATTGGCTTTAAAATATTTAAAATAAAATGGTCCAATCTAAGCAATTTGGGTGTATGGGAACAGCTGTGTTTTGGATTTTTGCTTTTAAACTAATGAAGTTACGGACTTTGAAAAATGACTATTATCTATGTACACAGACTTTTTTTTATAAAGGGATTTTAAAGAGAGTATTTCCATTTAAATTTGTCTAATTTTTCCATGTAACTGTAATTATATGAAGTGAATTACCAATCCAGGAGGAGTGTTGTGTCGTATTAAAAGGGTTTTTTAATAAGTCGATTAACATAAATTTCCTTTAATTACTTAAGCACAATTTGATACACAGCTGCTTAAGATAAATGCATTATGGCCACAATGTTCTATCGGTCTCATTCTTCTAAATTTGTCAGCTGCTCATCAAGTGTATCAGTGAAATCAGGTGGGACATGGAAACCTGTCAAGTGTGACTGCCCCCCCAAAGTCTTGTTCTGAAACATGAAGCTGCAATTCATCTCGGTGCAGGTGCTCTGCAGTCATGAAGGAATATTGTAAGTTGACCTGACTATCAAAATGTTTATTGCTAGTTGAATAGACAGCAGAAAAGGAAGAAGAAAGCTCAGTGTTAGCTCATGTTATGTACACACTTTTGCAAATACTGAAGTGGTTAAGGGGCAGTGTTGAGCCACTGATCCTGAGGGCTGCCAGAGCCCACAGGAATGCTTTTGCTTCAAAGCCCTGCATGGGAGAGAAAAAACATTATAGCACATGCTCTCAAGAAGTGTCTGTGTCAACAAGATTGATGCAGATGCCAGCTGTGAGCGTCTAGAGAAGCTGGGCTGCCTATAGCATCATCACAGGGGGGTAGTTTTTAATTAAGATAGATGTGCACTGAGAATGGCTAATCATTTTGTCACCATATTCACCTTGGAAAGAATCACAGGTTTCAAATTCACTCTGTGCAGCTGGGTGAGCTTTGCCAATCAACAGGGTAATTGGTAGTTTCTTTTCTAATATAAGCTCTTTTACTGTTAAGAAATCTTTATGACTTTATGTTCTTTCTATTGCATCCAAACAACTAAAGGTAATTAGTGGTGACAGTCCCCTTTTTTGAACAATTCTTAATCGTCCTAAAATTATCTCGTTTTCTTTTCTGGCAGCTCAGTATGCTAGGAAAATAAATAGGTACTTTTTCTTCTGAGAATTCAAAGCCACAAGCAAACTGCCTTTCGTTGTAGATATGAAACTGCTTAAGCATTAACAGGTATGATCAAACCTTATGCCATAGTTATGCGTCCCTGACAAAGTGGGAGGATAGCTTGCTGTGGTGTGGAAAAGATCTCACAGCTGCATTTAATTTTTTACCTTATGTAAGATTAGCTGTACCATACAAACCGTAACAGCTAAATATTTGATTAAATATTCAAAACTTGGGTTCCCCTGTGTGCAAGGACGTATGTCCCTTTACTAGATACTAGATCAAGATTTTCCACATGGAAAGATTTCTCCAAGTCTTGCATGATTATAGAAATTGCTGAAGATATCAGAGAGGGATTTTTAAGCACCGTTTTTAAAACTTCTGTTAAATACAGTAGAATATTCCAAAAATAGGAAATGTATGTAGCTTTACACTGTACTTTTTGACCTGCACTTATTAGAAAGCTGAGGCAGAAAACGCCCTAAATATGTGATTTTAACATGGCAAAATCTAGATGACTTTAGGCTGTAAGAGCTCTGTCTAACAAGCATAATGGCCCATCTCTTGCTGGAACAGGCTCTTCTCTCCAGTCCCTGCCCAAATCGTTTGCATCATTGGCGTTTCTGTTAACCCTTGCTTTATTCTCCAGTGACCTAACAACTTCTTCTGACCTAAAGATCAGGAAAGGAGCCGCTGCTCAGGTGGTACATGTAGCAGGCAGGGAACCTTTCACTTCTACAGCCTGAGCTGAAGACAAAGCTCTGGGTTTCAATGAAGGTAGAGGGATTGACTTGAAAAATGATGTCTTATGCTTAGGCTTGCACTGTTTTTTGCCTTACAGCAGCCATGTGAGAGGAGGTTCAGCCGTCAAAAGTAACCTAACTGCCAAAGACAGTTATTCTAAAAGATCTCCTGTATAACTGCTTAATTTTTATTTTCACCTCCTCTGTAGTAGAACTGTAAGAGAATTTAAGACAGCTTGCTACACAGTTGTTACTGCACTTACAAACAACACTATAATGAAATACTAAATTCTGAGTTGCTAAATCATCAAATGCTACTGGCTCCGGTTTGAATGTCTAGTTGCTTTTAGTAAGGACTGAACTTCTGGTCTCATTTAAAGCTGTACTGTTTACAAAAAATGTAGATTAACCCATGTCCCGTGCAGAATACTGGAGAGACTGGGAGGGTAGAAGGGAGGGAGTCCCAGAACACTCAAAAAGGGAAAAAGAAGCAGGGGAAGAAACCTATAGAGGCAGAGGAGGTAGAGGGTATCAGGCCCCATGAAAGGGACATCATGGTGTGACAACCTCTGGCCCTAAGGGACACACTCTAGAAGAAAGTCCAAATGTCAAAGTATGGAAAAGAGGAAAAGGAGGAGAGATTAAAGCTATGAAGAACCATGTTCATGTTGTGACTGTTCTGTGCCTCAGACGATACTTGACAACTCAATGGCTTCTACGAGTGCTCAACAAAACCTTAAACAGAAAGTATATAGTATTTCACCTGGGACTGTGTCTGAGATTTGGCTTTCCTTGCTTCCCTAATGGAATTGCAAAACTCTTCCAACAATGCGCTGCTGAAGAGCCCAAAAGAGGTCATACACACTATCCTGTATATGCCTACCTCCTGCACAAAGGTACAAACCAAAATTGCCTTCTGAGACTGTCTAGCAATCAGGTTAGTAAAATTACAAACAAGGAATCTGAAATAGTGATAATCTGCACCAGCAGTTTTTTCTACCCGAGGATAGTGCTGGGGCACTACTGCTACTGCACCTGATTTCTCAAATACCAAGGTCAAACCTCTCAAGATGTCTTCTGGTTCTTTGCAGAGGATGTTCAAGACCCTGGCAAAACAAATGTACCTTTTGTTGTTCCTCTCTAGATTATTTTCATTAGCTGTCCAAGTTAGCAAGGTAGCAACAGGTGTGTTGGCATGTAGAATTTTGTATGCTGTGGAAAACTACTTATTTAGGAAACGCAGTCATTTCTTCCCTCACAG